TGTTAGGTCACGAATGTGAAACCAATAATCAAGAACGAGTTATCAATTACTTGAGCAATAAATTCACAGACTACAAAACAAGATATTCGCCTTTAGAAAGGACCTGTTGTGCTTTGGTATGGACCGCACAATGATTAAGGCAATATATGCTAAGGCATACCACCTAGTTGATATAAAAAATGGACCCCATCAAGTATCTACTTGAGAAGTCCATACTCATTGGGAGGGTCGTCAGATGGCAAGTACTATTATCAGAATATGACATCATCTACGTTTCACAAAAGGAAATCAAAGGTAGTGCTCTGGCCGACTACCTAGCAAATGGATCAACCAATGAAGGGCATGCAATAAAGGATGACTTCCCAGATGAAGAAATTTTGGCCCTAGGAAATGATGAAGAAGAACAAGCTCAAAAAGAGTCTTGGTCCTTGTTCTTCGATAGAGCCTTAAATCTAATGGGACATGGGATAGGCACCATATTAATCTGGTAACGGAGATATTAATGTCATACCAATAACATGGCCGAATATGAAGGTTGCATATTGGGTTTACACGCTGCCCTTGACAATAGCATCACCAAATTAGAAGTCTATGGCGACTCGACTTTGGTGATACATCAATTAAGGGACGAATGGGAAACGAAGGATCACAAATTAATTCCTTACCAGGAATATATACAAAGTTTGATACCCCAATTTGAATCAATCAAATTTGAACACACCCCAAGAGAAGGGAATCAGTTGGCAGACGCCCTAGCCACATTGTCCTCCATGTTTTCCATAAAAGAAGCATGTGAAATGTCGGTCATCAGAATCAAACGACATGAGGTACAGGCTCATTTTTGCACACTGGCCAAAAAATATGATGATCATCCATCGTATTTTGACATCCAACAATACATCGAAGGAAGAAAATACTTGATTAGGGGATCTGACAATGATAAGAAAATGATCAGACGTAGAGTTGTTGATTCACATTCCATGGGGGCATCTTATACAAGAAAAGCTTTGATTCGGTCCTGTTGAGATGCGTCGATTAAGATGAATCTGAATCCCTAATGAAGGAAATCCACGAGAGAACCTTCGGTACCTACATGACAGGACAAGTCATGGCTAGGAAAATTATGAGGGCAGGATATTTCTAGTCGACCATGGAAAAGGATTGTATCTCGTATGCAAGGAAATGTTAGAAGTGCCAAGTATATGTTGATAACATCCAAGTGCCACCCAGTGAGCTCAATATAATGGCGTCACCTTGGCCATTCTCGATGTGGGGCATGGATGTCATTGGACCCATTGAACCCAAAGCTTCGAATGGACACATATTCATTCTTATAGCCATAGACTACTTCATTGAATGGGTCAAAGCCATGTCATATGCACATGTAACCCGTAAAGTAATGTCAATTTTGTCAGGAAGAACATAATATGCTGATATGGAATCCCTGATAAAATTATAACAAATAATGGTTCCAACCTCAAAACAAGATGATAACTAAATTGTGTGACTCCTCCAAAATTCAGCATCACAATTCCTCCCCTTATAGACCGAAGATGAACAAGGCAGTTGAAGCAGCCAATAAGAATATTAAAAAGATTGTTCAAAAAATGGTCCTCACTTATAAATATTAGCATGAGATTTTACCCTTCGCCTTGCATGGGTATAGAACATTCATCCGTATGTCAACTAGAGCTACACCTTTCTCCTTGGTATATGGGATGGAGGTAGTTCTACCCGTAGAGGTGGAAATTCTTTCTTTAAGATTACTCATGGAAGAAAATCTCCCTGAGGTCGAGCGGGTACAAGCTAGATTCGATCAACTGAATCTCATAGAAGAGAAAAGACTAGATGCTATCTATCACGGACAGACTTATCAAAGGAGAATCAAGAAGGCTTTTGATAAAAAGGTTCAACCCCAACACTTTCAAGAGGGAGATCTAGTACTCGAGAAGCTTCTGCCAGCTTAGAAGGATAAGATAGGGAAGTGGACACCAAATTACGAGGGTCTATATGTAGTCAAGTGGGATTTTTCTAGGGGAGCATTAATCCTTACCAACATGGACGGCGAAGAACTTTCTTACCCAGTAAACTCCAATGCCGTAAAGAAATTTTACGCTTGAACATAATTGCTTTCCAAAAAAAATTCCATTAGGGAAAATCCTAGGCAAAAGCCGAGAGAAATGAAAAGCAAGCAACAAGCATCTAGATCAAAAATCAAAGATGATCTAAATACCCTATCAACCCTCTGGAGAATCTGACCAAAGGTCCAAGCACTACTGATCAGACAACTAGGAGGATGTTTAGCTTTGTTTCTCAAATCATGGTTGCTTGAGCCCAAACACCGGCCAACCTCAGCCAGCCCTTTTTACTAAATCCATTTTGTAATCCTTTCTTAAAACTTTTCCAATTTATAATGAAGATACCACTTTTCTCTCATTTCTCAAAATCGAAACAGTCCAATAAAAGGCAAATAAATAAATAAAACAGCTCTGTATGAGCTCCTAATAGGTGAAAATTAATACAGAAAATTACATGGCTTTTAAAAAAAAAACTTTGTTGAAGGAGTAGTGAAAGGTCATCCGATAACGGTAAACATTTAAAAGGCTTATTGTGCATGTATGGTGTACGTAAGATGCATATTTAGAATAAAGCATGCATCCATCATTTACATATAGAAAAAAATAAAATGTAGATATTTAAAATATAAAAAAAGCATGCATCCATCATTTACATATAGAAAAAGGGAAAAATCTTCCATACGAGAAATACCAAAAAATAGAAGATAGAAGAATGAACAAAAAAAGCCCTCAGCCCGGGGATCAGCCTACAAGCAAGCGGAAGGGTCCCCTCACAACAATGATCAGGTTAGACAGCTGGACAAGGTCAAGAAAATCAAAGTCAGCATCATATCCCACACTCGATCATCAACAAAAGAATAGCCACAGCATCCAAGCAGAATATGCTTGGAGAGGCATCATAATACTCACTTGGCGAGAGAAACACAGAATTCTCGCCACACACACATCCTCAAGGAAGATGCCTGGAGAGGTATCACATTACTCACACGGTAGGAACAACACCATAATCCTTGCCACCCATCTCATTCCCCAATGAAGACGTCTAGAAAGACGCTACAATACTCACCTAGCGGGGCATCACACATCCCGTTAGCCCTAGCCCAAAACATAGGGCATCTTAGGCATTCCCCTACTTGTCAACCCGAGGGGCATCCCATAACACCAATGAGAGGACACCATCGAGTTCCTCAAGTACAAGATCAAAAAAGGTTGTTGGACCCTCAAAACTAGTACAAGCTCGGAGAAGGTTGCTAGACCCTCAAAACTAGCACAAGATTAGAAAAGGTTGCTAGACCCTCAAAACTAGTACAAGCTCGAAGAAGGTTGCTAGACCCTCAAAAGTAGTACAAGATTGAAAAAAGTTGCTAGACCCTCAAAATAGTACAAGATCGAAAAAGGTTGCAAGATCGGAAAAGATTGCTAGACCCTCAAAACTAGTATAAGATCGGAAAAGGTTGCTAGACCCTCAAAACTAGTACAAGATTAGAAAAGGTTGTTGGAGCCTCAAAACTAATTAGACCCTCAAAACTAGTATAAGATCGGAAAAGGTTGCTAGACCCTCAAAACTAGTACAAGATTAGAAAAGGTTGTTGGAGCCTCAAAACTAATACAACATTGGAAAAGGTTGTTGGACCCTCAAAAGTAGTTTACGTAAATAACTTCCCATACAACCCTACTTTGGTCAAAAGCCGAGAAAAACCTGTCAGACTAGAAAAAAGCAAGATCATTCGAAAATAATAATATATAATATGATCAATTGCTACCCCACCCATACCTAGCTACCCTATTAGACTAGAAAAAAAGCAAGATCATTCTAAACTATAATAGTATATACTATGATCAATTGCTACCCCACTCATTCTAGCTACGGTTACATTTAAAAGTAGGCACGAAAATGGAATGTATACTCATTGATATTATTTATTAAACACTGAATAGAAACAGCCAAATAACAGTTAGCAGTTGGCAGAGGTTAACCAATTTATAGTATTTTTCTACAAACCAATATAAACAAAGGTATCAATCAAAGTACACCCTACCTTAACTCTTTGGCCTCTTGTACCTGAACCATATCATATGAATTGCATTTATTGCGTCACCGCCCCAGCATGACCTATACATTGACTTAATATAATCTTTCCCTATTCAACTA